GAACACTTGAATGTATAGCAGCTCACTCATTCACCAACATATTTCCTCTGAGTCTGCCAGATTAATTACCTTGTCATAATAAACTAAGCAAGGACCTGACCATTTTAAAAGATATGCAGTGTTAAAGCTTTGTGGCTGTCTACAGATTTCTGTTATAGTGATTTCAAGTGCATGTAAACTCCAACAATGAACTTCTCTCATTTGCTTCCTCTGGATTTTTAAAAAAAATATGATATTTAAAGAGTTTTGTTATATCACTTCAATAAATGGAAGTACCTGTTGATCCTGCCAGAAATCTATGGAATGGAATAGAATACAATACATACATGTATGGAATACAAAACACTTCCTCCCTGACTTTATTTGGTCAGTGATCGCCACCGCTGTGTTTACATTCTAGCAGTGCTGGGTATCCTTCATTTACGACAGGAGTAGTGGTAGGTGAAAATTGTCGGGCGCAGTGGGTCAACATACAAGTGCTCTATTTAAAAATAGTAAATAATAGATATTAGATGTAAATCTAATATCAATCACATCGGTCAGTGACATAGATCTACGGGTCTACATCAATAACGATGAGCGACACCTCATGAAGTTGACCTGCTGTTTCCAACAAGCTTCACCTGCCGCTACCCCTGTTCCAAATGACAGATACCTGATGATGCTCCTGGTATGTAAACACAGTTCTGGGGGGTCCTGGGTACCATTGTTATGGTTATGATCATATTTGGTTAATAATGTCACTGTGCCCCAGAAGCTGACAGGGATATGTCATTTAGAGGTGGTAGTGATTCCCAAATAACAGATTCTCTGGTTTGTTGGCAAACAGAAGCCGGTGGGAATCTGTTATTTAGCAGCGTTACTGCTACCACCACTAAATCACAGATTCTCAGGCGCTCTTTGTAAAGACAAAATTTAATATTATACTGCTCATTGGAACTTCACATGCAGCTTTAAGGGCACCCCCAAAGCATGTTGTTTAAAGGATTTTTGTGTATTGTTAATGTTGCCCATTAAGCCGCATTAAAACACCCTCACCCAGCGGAGCTGTGTTTTTTTATTCATCAGTTTAATGTGGAGTACCCCCGTATTGTTTGATTTACATTCTACATGCATTGTGTTTAATACATTACTACTAGAGTATAATTTGTGTGCAGATTTTTGTCCTTATCCCGAGGGGTATGGGTTGGACATTGTTTTTATCCTTTTTGTAATAAAGTGGGGATTTGCATGCTTTATTTTGTAGGATTTATTACATCATTAATCTGATGTTACTATTTACATGTAGGTAAATGACAATCCGTGGTAATCTAAAAATAGTGTCTCTAATTGGTTTAGTGTACTTTCTTGTTCCACTAATGACTCCAGACTGAATAGGGGTTTGTAGGCCTTACTTTTGGGTTTGCTACATCTGCTAGAGTATGGCCAGCTTAAGGGTTCCATCACAGCAGCCCACATGTGTTATTCTCAGTATAACACGTGCATGCTGGTGTGTGCAGTGAAGGACAATGTAAGGTGTAATTACAACTGTCACTGCTTACTTTTTGTTTATTTTTTTTCTTACTCTGAATGTCGCAAAATGACATGCACCTCAACTCAGTATTATGGTGCAAACAGGGCACGTAGAAAAGACTTGTATTTGTAATTGCATTTTGCCTGCGTTAAGTAATGCTGATCAACATACCTGGTGTGATTGAGCCCTAAGGGCAGGTTCCTATCATCATACCAGATCTGGAACACGGTGCATTGCATTTTGCCACGTTTAGGAGCTTTTTTTTTGTTTAGTTTTTTTCAAGCTTAAAATGGGCTTTCGGGTGCATTCCAGTGCGTTAGCGTTTTTGATGCATTTCTATGCGTTCCAGTGTATTCCAGACCAGTCAAAATGAGACATGCAGTAATTTTCTGGTCTAGTCTGGAACGGACTGCGCTGGAGGCCAGAACTAGCATAGGTATACACTAGGATGCATTTTAGGTCTGGAAACAATCTGGTCTGGAGATGATCTGGATGTGGTGTGAATGGGCCCTAAAACTGGCGATAGACATGGCAATCAAACGTTCTATTCCATTCTTTATAATACTCTTAAAGAAATCAAAGACCTAAAATGGAGGTTGGATTGACTGCAAAGAGACAGGTTTTTAAATTGCCTCAATCAAATGTCGGCTAGAGCTATGCAGGTAACATTTGTAGCTCAATAGTGCTTCTAGATTAATCACTATGCAGATGACCATCAACCATTTCACCAACCCATTAACTTTGCAAAGATCACAAGCACTCAATTAGTATCATCAGTCACTAAACAAACAGAATAACTGCTTTTCCATGGCATAGGTTACACAGGCAGACGGGTCGTAGCAACATTGTTATCCCTGAAAAACGTGTTGGAGAGGGCACAGCCAGGTTCTAATCAGCTGCACAAAGCCCTCATTCACACCTCTGTGATGTGACATTGCAGAGGTGCTGTGGGGTGCGCTGTGGAAGGGCAGCCTATTTGAATGGGCTACCTACCACAGCTTAATCATAGCCCAAGCACATTTATTCGAAATCGCATTGCACCACATCACATAGTGTGGAACCATAAAATGCATATGTGATGGCTAGGTGCGTTGGGGGGCCATTAAAAAGTAATGGCACTGCAGCACACCTAACATTGCAACATGCAATTCAGAAACACATGCAGGACTATACGCACTCCCGCATCAGATAAATATGAACGGAACCTTATGTTTCTTCCCACAGGTAAGGTTCTGTGTAAAGGTGGCCATACACTGTACAACCCTCGCAAGACTTTTGTCTTGTGAGGGTTGTAAAGTACTTTAAAAAACGTACGATCTGCCCATCTTGGACAGGCAGATCGTACTTGCGATCATCGATCAGCGATGACTGCAATGAGGGGCGTGCTTCCGATGAATGCACATTTATTCGTCAGTTGTCGAACAAGCAGGCCACTAACTCGCCGAGAATCGTATGATTCCCGGCGGGTTTTCCAGCCTGCTTGCGACCGTTCAGGATTTCCCGCGATTCTCATACGAGAATCGTGCAGTGTATGGGCACCTTAAGGGAAAGGCAATTACAGCGCCGCTCAGGTAGAGGCATCCAATTGGTGCCAGAAAATCTAAATTGTAATTGAAGAGAGGAATAAAGTAGGGAAAGAAGTATCGTGATACCCGTAGGCAGCCCTGGTGTGACCCAAACGCAGCCCTGGTGTGACCCAAACACAGCACTGATGAGACCCAAACACAGCCATGGTGAGACTGGGCACAGAGCTGGTGAGACCCGGCATGCAGCCCTGGGTAATCCCAAAGGCAGCCCTGGTGAGACGACACACAGCCATGGTGACACCTGAATGCAGCCCTGGTGAGCCCACACCCAGCCCTGGTGAGACCACACACAGCCCTTGTGAGACCCCGCATATCCACCAGAGACTGCACGCCGCCCTGGTGAGACCACAGGCAGCCCTGGTCCAACCCCGCACAGCCTTGTAAGACCCTGTTACAGCCTTGGTCAGAACCTGCACAGCCTCATAAGACCCCGTTACAGCCTTGGTCAGACCCCGCACAGCCTCCTGAGACACCACACAGCCCTGGTTAACAACAGAGTAAGTAGCTTCATATTATTCTACATTACTGTATAATGTATTGCTGGGATTTGTAGTTCTCTATTGCTGATAATATTCTGCATTGCTTTATGATGTATTGCTGAGATTTGTAGTCCATCTACAGCTTGATGTCAGTGGCAGAACTACCAGGTTTACAGCTGTAGCAGCTGTGACTGGGCCCTGGCGCTCAACCACTGTCCTAAAATCATTAGTCTGTATTGATTTAGAAAAACTGTCACATGACGCTAAAAAAAACATATCAGTAATTGGTATTGTCGAGTACTTGAGGACAAGTATCGGTATTTGTACTTGGTCTGGAAAAATTGGTATTGGTGCATCCCTAATGTTTTCTAAACAAGCCACTATGTTTTTAAATAAATCTAAACCTTCACTATATGACAGTTGGTTTGTTAAAGCATTGTTTATCATCAACACTGTTTTCAGTGCTGCTGATCTCCTGCAGCCTCTTTCAGCTACTTCCTACTTTCTGATAGTGGCAATGTTTTACCAAGCAAGTCAGCACAGGTGCTTGTTGTATGCATCAGGAGCACAATTAATAGGTGACAATGCAGAGGTACAATTGGGATATAGCCGTCACCCTAGTACGGGAAATGCCTGAACAGGGATCTTCATAGTAGAATAACCAAGTATTCTTTAACAAAAGCTGCACATTTCGAAAGATTGAAACAATTTAATTTAGATGTTAAAGCCTAAATGGGATTATAGTGATTGGGTATTACTAAAGAGGGAACCTTGCTGTAGTTTTTTATCAGCTGATAAGAGAACAGCATTGGAGATGGTCTTATCACATCGGTCATATCACAGTGTAGAAAACAAGGCATCAGATGATAAAAACCGCTGGCAGTTTCTCAAGCATCTGCACCTGATTACACTTTTAATCACATAAAAGTTTAAGACTAGTGTCTTCACTGATGCTAATCATTTCAATCTGCTGCAAAATAACACATCTGCCAACAAGTGGTTAATGTCAATGTAGGTTCTTGTTTTGCATACGCAGCGCTTTTTATAAAATCTAACACTGGGCCAAACATACACGTAGGCAATATCAAATATATGTAAGCTATATCAATAGGACCTAAATGTGATCATTATACCATTGCTAAAGATATGTGAATAAATCAAGGAGTTTATTCTAAACCACTGACAATCCTTGGATAAATGCATTAGCCAACATATGCCTTGCAGCTGTGATCTTTCATTCGGTGTCCCATACACAGCGGTTAAGTGAAACCTGCCTGATAAAGGAACTTTTTAGGCAAATATTTGCAGATAACCATCAGAACTATATTCAGAATCTTGCAGAGTAGTGTTAGGAGCACAATATCTAATCTATGCAATCACATCTTATGTTCAGAAAGCATATGACAGTTATTTTATCGTTACCTCAGTAATCCAAAGTCTTGAGAACTTCTAGAAACTGCTGCTTACTTGGTCTCTGTGTCACAAAGAATTCTGAGGCTCTCTGTGAATTTTGATGACATCCTCCCACAGTTAACATATGGCTGCAATTAGTTAACACTGCCCTCTGGAGGTGAAAATGCATATATATCCTATCTCCTTACAGACAAGATGTGCAGGCATGTGCTATGTCATGAAAGAGAAGGCTTGTTGCACTCCTTACTGGATGTCCCTGCTATTGGGGAAGGGTGCTTAGAATGACTGCGGATGGCCTTAAAGGGTCCCTTCATCAGGGATAGCATTAACGATCATCAATGCTATGCCTGATGAAGGGACCCTGTGAGGCCCCAAAAAGCACTTGTTTTATTGACACAGTTCTAAATAAACGAACAATCGTTGATCCTTGAAGGATTTTTGGTGTGCTGGTGACGTTTTTCACATGATGAGCTATGTGATGCTCTCGGTGAATTCCAAAAAAACAAAACCTTTAAAAGTTTAATTACCTATAACAATAGATCGGAGGTAACCTTTAAGATTCACATGAATATGCCAATCAGTATATTAATATTTCAAACATAATTGACAAACCATTGTCAATTATGTTTGAAATATTAACCATTGTCAATTATGTTTGAAATACAGGGATGTCAATTTTTTATTCCAGTATAAAGTTTGAGTTATACACTCATGGCTTTATCCTAATGCATCCCATTCCAATGTGAGTCTAGAGCAGTGATGGTGAACGTTTTTGAACCCGAGTGCCCAAACTGCGACGCAAAATCAATTTATTTATCTCAAAGTGCCAGCGCTGAAAATAACTATAGTATTGTATTGCAGTTTGGGCAATGGGCTTTAAAAAACATTCAACATCACTGCCTTGGGCAAAATAGGGAAACACACATATTCAAACATTTATACACTCAATAAAACACACATCACACACTCATTATAAAAAGAAACCACACATACATAGATATCACACATTAAAAACACAACAATTTCTTTTTTTGCAGCCTCTGTTCTAAATGAATGGAAAGCACAGAGTCGGAGGGCGGAGCCGTTGTCACAGCAGCATGTGCGGTGAGGAGAGAGAGAGCCGCCGGCTGTCAGATCCAGGCCGAGCGGCACTCTCTCCTCACCGCTCGGCGTGCTGCTGATGATAGCGGCTCCGACCCCCGCTGCTGCCTGCAGCGCCCCGTTCACTTCTCGGATCCCCGCTGCATACAGATGGGGGAGAGCAGCGGGGATCCAGAGAAGCCCCACGTCAGGAGGACAGGACATCGTGATCTACCAGGGATCGCTTTACGATCAATGGTAGATCGCGACCGACCTAATGGGCACCCCTGATTTATTATATTGCTGGTTCGGCAATATATTAAATAGAATCTAGGCACCTATCAGGTTTAAAGATGGCCGCCGCGATTCACAGCGGCCATCTTTAAAAACTTAACATGACTTTACAGTGACCTGCACCTGGAGTGTCCGGGTCACTGTAACCGGGACCTAGGCTCGCGTGCCACCAGAGGGGCCTCTGCATGCCCTCTGTGGCACGCGTGCCATAGGTTCGCCACCGCTGGTCTAGAGTGTTGACAACGTTTCACCACAATACCCTGTTGGAGGCTGCATAAAGGTGGCCATACACTATGCAAATTTCAGCTGGTTATTGATGATCAACATCCTTTCGGCCGGCATCCCTCAATCAGCCAATCAAAGGAGCCAGTTGGAAAATCTTTAAACGAACATAGCGGGAACCAATCAGCTGCTGACTCTGTTCTGCTGGCGGCCGCTGCCAAATTACAATGAAGACAGTGGGAGATTCCTTGATCAATGCTTGTGTTGATGGAGGAATCTTGTATATATCCTGTATGGCAAAAACTTCAGCGTGCAAGTCTACCCACCGATGCTTTCATCATGTGTATTCCTCGAGGGAAGGAAGTACCGCCTTCCACAGGAAGTCACATGTTAAAACGGGTCGTGGGTGGATTTGCACGCTGAAGTTTTTGCCATACAGATAACTAAGGATTGGTTTATGGTGGAATCTGCCTATGAGTGGGGATTCATGCAGGTGAAACTCGAATAATTAGAATATCGTGCAAAGTTCATTTATTTCACTAATGCAACTTAAAAGGTGAAACTAATATATGAGATAGACTCATTACATGCAAAGCAAGATAATTCAAGCCGTGATTTGTCATAATTGTGATGATTATGGCTTACAGCTCATGAAAACCCCAAGAACCCCAAATGCACAACCTCAAAAAAGTAGATTATTACATGCAATCAATAAAACAAGGATTGTATATAGAACAATATTGGACCTCTGAAAAGTACAAGCATGCATATGTACTCAGTACTTGGTTTGGGCCCCTTTTGCAGCACTTACTGCAATTACTTTTGCACGATATTCTAATTATTCGAGTTACACCTGTAAAAGGTTGCACTTACATACAACTACAATCATTAGCTTTTAAGACAAATCTCAGCCAGTAAGCTCAGGTTTGCGTCTCTCGGACCTAGCTCCTGATGCTCGTGTGCTCCACCCACCAACGCGTTTCATCACATTGACTTCCTCTCTGGGTACGGCGCACACAAGCATTACGTATCTCTATTCTCTTGTAAATACTTGATGCATTACAACTGATTGTCCACTGGATGTCACTACTGCATAATTCATCAATGGGTAGATACAATTACATAGACTAAAATGATATAAATGAGGAGATACAATTACATGGCATCAAATGAAATGTATTTGTGGCGGTCTATATTTTCTATGTGGGGATCAAACTTTAAGTGAGGATTATTGAGGTAAAATCAGGATGGGATAAATCACCTCCCTATAAGCATATCATATATACTGTATTTAACCTCTCTATTGGCATAGATTACCTGTGCAGTCCAGATAAGCGCAAAATTATAGCTAATTTGCCTACAGACGTCAGGTGGTCATAATAATCTGTCCACTCAGTGTACATCCCACATATCTTTCTAATCGATTCTATTAACAGGGATTCCTTATAAAATACAGATGTGGGCTACCAGTATACATTTCTATCTGCCAGGTATGTGTGCATTGTGACCACAACTTCAGATTTATAGTTACTATTTTAGGCATTGGACTATGTGGGGGTCATTAGGATAAAATAAAATAAGCAAATTTATCTTACCATTAAACTTACAATACGATTAAAGCTTGCAATATCTTTCTAATAAATATATAAATTATACATTAAAAACATCTTTACTAAAAATATAATAAAATCCCAGTAAAATATCATGTGTTAAACGTATAATTTGAGATGCATTTTATGGGACTATTGTCCCATTTATACTCTTTTATTAAACCATTAATCATTTTTTTTTTTAACAATGAAAATGTTTCATTGATACCGGAAGTTCAAGTATCGGGATAGGCATAGGGAGCATTTGGCCAAGTACGAGTACTGTAAGTATATATTCCTTGGGTTGTATCCTTTCTCTAAGAATTTTTTTCTTCCATTTAATAATGATTGTTCCTCATAATCTCTTTTCAGTGTGCAATTTCTCCTAATTCTGGTAATCTGGCACTTTGGGATACCCATGATCCAGTTAGGGTGATGAGAGCTATTTTTAGGTTTTATAACTGTTTTGATCAGTTTAAAAAAAAAATTAGTCATTAACAAAAATGGACAGGTCTAAAAATTAGATTTCTCGGTCATTGTAATTTTTAGTGAATTTTATTCCACATCTATTGTTATCTATAATCGACCAAAATGCTGTAAGAGATGCTAGGACACCTTGCCAGATGAGTGATATATTGTCTATAAATCTGTGCTATGTGCACATTCCTTCCCATTGTTTACCAAAAATAACCTCCTACTTGGCCATGAACAAATTCACTATACTGTGTGCAAATTTTGCCCCCATGGCAACACCCTTTTTTTTGGGGGTGATAAAAAAAACCCTATACAAAAAATAGTTTTTACTCATCCACCATTAGGAGCTTTGGTGAACACCGGCTGGTCCTCAGACTCCAATACCTCCTCAGTATTGCGGCACTCTGCTTTGGAACTCAGACGCCCAACAGCCTCTTGTATGCAGTTGGCCCAGGCTTCCAGCTGCTGCTCCTGTTCCACAGCTCCAGTTCATAGTTGCACTTGTGGGTGTTGGCCTACACTGCTTCCACTCCTCCAATCGTTCAAAGTCCAAAGCATTTACGGCTTGACTGCATGATCCGGCATTTACTATACAGATATTGTGGAGTGACTGCCCTCTGTTATAAATTGCATAAATAGAACTTTATACTGGAATAATAAACAGACAGTCACGTAAAACACTAAATCATGTAGTCTAAGTTGTTATTGGAAAAACTTCTTCCATCTTTTGGAAGTGGTTCTGTTTTCCATGGGGCCCATGGAAAACTGCACTTCAAGAAAAAAATTGACAGATTGGGTAATGTTCACCCCAGTACTAGACCCCAGTACCAGAGGTCAGAGACTACAGCCGCCGAGTATAGCTTCAGCCATAGCAGCCCCTGCATGCTTAAAGGCAGGCAGGCCTACCGGTTGCCCATAGAGCATAATACATAATGCATAATGCTATATAGATTCTGTGCAAGTGGTACAAGGGACTGTGAAAGGATATAACAAAGAGTACTTGTAGTCCTCAGATCAGGTGTGGAGTGTAGTATTGTAGATATGAATCAGTAGCAAAATCCAGAGGCAGTCAGAGGTCAGGACTGAAGGCAAACAGTAGCATAATCCATTGATAGGGGGCTGGATGAGATCAGGGCGGGTGGCAAACAAAGCATAAGCAGACACAGTCAGAGGTCAGGGCAGGCAGCAGACAGTAAGTATAATCCAACAACAGGCAGAGGCCAGGGTGGGCAGCAGCCAATCAGCCTAATCCAGGTACATGCAAAGATAAGGGCAGGGACCAGACAAGAGGTTAAACCAGAGACAGACTAGCTAGGGTTAAATGTAGTATCAGAGTAACAGAGCATTAAGCCAGTGTAGTTAGAACTATCACAAGCCCAGAACCCTGTTCTTGTGATGTTTAAATGGAGCCCCACAGGGCACCCAGTCA